TATCTTTTGTAAGCGCATTAATTATTTAAATAAGAAAACTAAACACTTACCTTAAAAGAAGTTTAATAAAACAGTCAAACCATGTTGTTGTTGCAACTTTACTTGTGTAGGTAACAGTCATATTTTTTTGTAAGTTATGGTAGATCTCGGTCTTTTTAGTCTTTTAAAAAGTAAGTTATTATTACACGCATTGTTCTAAAGATATTAGTGACAACATTGGGATAAAATGACTTCTTATATTAAATTCTGATAAATAATATTGTAGATAAGACGAGTATTTTAGATAGCTACTATCACTTGTATCAAAGTAATTACATTGATCCTTAAAAATTGATACAATAATAAAAACTTAAAAAAAAAATAATATATAAGTGGATCTGTAGTGAATAGATTAAATATGTCTTACTACAAAGTTTGAAAGAAAATTCGAGTTACACTTAAAAAAAAATAGTTTTACCGAAATAATAGTAAATAGCTGATTTACTAGGCACATCTGTAAAATTTGATTTAGTGAAGCTGTTAAGCACTAGACGCTAAATAATTATAATCAGATAAAGAATATTTTTTTTTATTTTTTAAAACCGACAAACGTTTCATCATTTTAAAAATGCATGACCTATGAAGATTTTTAAAAACGGTGAAACATTTTTATTTTTCATCTAACTTTTAAAATTTAGCATCTATTTTGTTTCAATGCTAATATTTAACAGATTCATTAAGTTACATTTTGAAGATATTTCTCGTACAATTTGTTATTTATTATTTTTTAAACAACAAAAATTTATTTAACAGTGTAACTTTCGAACCTCCGTAAGTACTGATTTTTTAAATGAATTTTAAGGATGGTACATATTACATATATAAAATCTAATAACTTATTTCATTTATTGAAAACGTGGAATGAGTTATTACGGAGTTACAACAATTTCGTAATCATCTCTTATAATTAAAATAGATTAATACTGTTAACAGACATTTGTTTATTATTTATTTGTTAATTGTTTAGAAAATTGCCTCCTTACGAAAAATATTTACACTATTTGTATACTTTTCCTTTGTTTTTGGTTAATTGCAGTTTCGTATTTAAAAAACGTTGATATAAACAGTTGAATAGAAATCAAAAAGTTTTTGCATAGAAACTGTGCATAACATATATACATGGTTAGCAATTGACTTTGTTTAAAGGAATAAAATAATTGTCCTATATTAAAATGGAATGTGTACAACATAACATTAAAATTTCTTTTTTTTCGCGTTAAATTAAGATAATAAGTACTACGTGGTTAAGTTGTAATTTGCGTAATGATTCCTAAAGGCTTACTTGTCATAACTTTTCATCTTTAGGAGTTTGCGGTGTTGGTGGTGGTTCCGATTTATGTTCAAACAAAAGCATTTCCTGTTCTTCGTTGGTATTACTTAATGATCTTGCGATGTTCTGGAGCATTCTAGATTTCCTCTCTTTTTCCCTTAATTTTTTTAAACGCGTGAATTCATCAGCCCACGACTCATCATCCTCCGAACCAATACTTATACCGTCCATACTATCTCTTGATGCGCGCGTTCCGGGGGCTGATGTTCCACTTAAACGATGGGTAGGTTGTCGCATAGGTACCGAAGATCTACATATACATATAGAAATAACTTATTAAATTTCAAATTCAGATCACAAATAACTTTATAAAGGAATACCTTCTAAAAGCAGGAACGGGCACAGGATCTGACGGACGAGGAAATTGAAAAAAATCGATTACACTCGGACGTGCTGGATCTTTATTTGATTGAATAGTAGATTGCTCATCGACCTATAATTATATAAAAAAAAAGTAATCATTTGTAGCCTATTTTGTGTTACACTAAAATTTTAGTAGCTACCTCTTCTATAATTTCTTTGGCCAATTTTCGCTTAGATTCCGCAGATTGTTGTTTTAAATTTGTCGTACTATTGGACAAGTCTGCAGCTGAGCCTCTTTTGCTATCACTTTTACTGTCTTTATTGTCGACCCCGTCCTCTCGTGATAAAAATCTTTTGAACAATTTAACAACTGAATTATTTCGGGGAATTGCATCTACAAAATAAATAACATCAGTAAATTATGCCACATTTTTAACTTATTAATGACAACAAAAATAAATTAACTTTTTAAATGTGATAATTATTTACCTGTAACTGATGATCCTACGGAAGTTTTTGAGCTATCTGATCTTCCATACTGAGGCCTAGCGCTGAAATTGATTATGCTATGCATTTCATCCCCGTACGAGTTCACGTCATCCATTTTCAGAGACGAAGGAACAGTTTCTGATTCTTTATGGACATTTTTAACCGCTATATTAGCCGTTGAAGGCTGCGGTTGTTGGTCCCGGAATTTTTCTGCGGCTCCTGTGTATGGTAATTCTTGAGGAAATACCTCATCCCAATATTGGTCCCTTACTAACTCGGGATGTTCGTGATGCATTTCGTCTACGATCAAGTAGGAAACCTGAGAACAAAAATCGATAAAAATTTTATCTTTAAGGAAACTTAATAAACAAATATTACCTGTAAATTTCTGTCAATCATCCAGTTCACTTCAAAATCATCATCATCATCTCCAAAAGGATTTATTAACGACTCTGCTACCTTAAGCCACCCCATGTAGAAAAAGAATTGTAGCGTAGTAAAGACAGGGAAATATAAATCTACTTTGTACTCTTTTCCATGCACCCATTGATGCCCCATAATTGTTGTTAGAAAATAACTGTACACAGCCAAAGTTACCACCTAAATTAAACAAAGTCAAAGTTCTAAGTGGCTTTTTATTTTAATTTCTAATACCTGGGTATAAACAAGTGGAACACTAATACTATCATAGCCTAAGAGCAAGCCACATCTTCCTCTAAATTCGTTTAATTCATCTAAAACAGTTTTCACAGCAAAATCATCACGAATTCTTCCTTCCTTTCTTGCTCTGGTAACTATACTTGAAGCCCAAACAATTGGCAACCTTTTAAATCAAATTATTGTATAAAGTAACAAACATAAAAATAATGTGTTTGTTTATAGCTAATCAGATTGGTCAATAATCTATTAAAATTCATGAAAACTAATAAACACAAATAATATCAATAAATTGCTGACCAAGAAAGACTTGTATTACATGCATACCATTGCTTAGAATGACTGGGAAATTTTTTATTCAAATGTTCTAAACTTTCTTTTTCACTTTCTTGTAGTAAGCCTGCTTCTACAAAATGTTCAAGTGTTGGAAAACGTTTTTTCACCCTTGGTGCAATCATTGCAAAAGTCATTGTCAAACAAAGGCATACATAGCGCATTACAGTTCTTCTCATCACCCTGCCTCTCTCATCCTGAAATATATATATAGATAAACTAGGTAACAAAATGAACCAACACAAACACAACTTAAGAATGAGTAAATATACAAATTGTGTATCTACCTGACCATGTATTGTTGCACTAACATACACAGCTAAAGAATCAGGAAATGGTATAGAAATGTATTGATTCCACCACCTAGTCATTACAATGGTTACATAGAAACCCAACACAAAAGAAAGGGGTATAAGATTACTGTATTCACCACAATATTTTACTAAATTTTCAAATAACCTGTAACAATGTAAAGTCAGTAATCATGCAAGTAGTAATGGTATGACTTACTCTTTATGGTAATCATTAAGTGCCAGCCGATATATGAGATTCAATGCATAATAAACACTTAAAAATACTAAAAGATCTAACCAAACTAATTTATATATGCTTCCTCTCCATCTAAAATAAGTCAGAGGAAAATAAAATTAAATTTGAGAAATTTAATAGATAGAAATAATATATGCAATAATATATTTAATACCTTCGTAAAAGTTTTAAAAAGCAACNCAATACACAAACAAACATTCTTCTTTAAAACTTGACAAAGAATTTATTTTTACTTTTTTGTGTTGAATATATGTCAGAAAAGTCTAATCTATTACGAGGAAGTGGTACAATTCCTGGATCAGAAAACACAGCACGGAAATGTGATACCAACAACAAAGATAATATAACATTAAATAACACAATATTAAATGAACCCCATGAACTAAAAATTGTTAGTAACTATTATTATTTAATGGATGATGATGATGTACTGCAAACATATTTACCTGTCTGACATTGTCTCTATAATAATCCATCTAACCACAACAAAATCTGCATACAAAATAGCCACATATGTAAAACTTAAGCAAGCAATTCCGCAAGGGTCCTTCAAAAAAACCATACTGTTAGTTTTCTCAGAGAAAGTGTTTAGAAGCAGTCATCTTATTTTCCATCTGTTATAATTTTTTATAGAATCTAGTATTATGTTAAAAATGGTTCATTCCTAGAAGTTGCACTATCAAAAAATAGTCGAATTAGATAAATATACTTTCAAAACGTATACAGTTTTGTAGTCGAAATAATTAGAGGTTTTGCAGGTTAGACATAAATAATGGATATAGTAGTATTATTACTTTACTTTATTTGTTTTAATTTCTTGTGGTTGACGGTAACGATTTTTATTGTACAAAAAAATTTGACGTTTGACGGTTTTCAAACTACAAATAATAATGATTTTTATTAAATACTGTGATATTTTCCAGTGAATTAAATTATAAATAATATGAAAATGGCAGAATTAAATCAAAAACCAGCTTTGGACATAGTTTACTTAGCAATATCTGCTCTGTACAACAATCCAAATAATGAAGAAAAGGAAAGGGCCTCTCAGTGGTTAGGAATCCTACAAAAATCAGTAAGTACGTTCTCTATTCTGTTTATATAAGAATTAATTAAATGTTGCTTCTTAGGTTTTTGCATGGACAATTGCAGATGAACTTCTCCACCACAAAAGAGACTTGGAATCTTGTTACTTTGCTGCTCAAACAATGCGTAGTAAAATACAGCATTCCTTTCATGAATTACCCTTGGAAGCACATGTATCTTTGAGGGATTCATTATTGGAGCATATTAGTCAAATAAATGAGAATACAAATACTGTGATAGTAACCCAGTTATGTCTAGCACTTGCAGATCTTGCACTACAGATGCCTACCTGGCATAGAGCTGTTCTTGATTTGATAAACAGGTAAGTGTATAATCCAATTTCATGACTAATGTAGTTTTTTGTGTTAATTCTCATTTGTAGATTTTCATCGACACATACATGGCCCCTATTAGAGGTTTTAACAGTTTTACCTGAAGAATTGGAGAGTCGTTCAGTGAGAATAGGTGAAAATAGAAGACTGGAACTTTTGGAGGATTTAAAAACATGTGCTCCTACCATTAATGAATTTTTAAAACATTGCTGTAACACAAATTGTGATAATATGTCAGTGAACATTAAAATTATTCGTTGTTTTACATCATGGGTATCTGTAAGAGCAATTTCTTTAGATGGAATCCATTTTCACATTGTTCTTTTAAAAGCTTTTGATATTTTGGTACATAAAGGAGAAGGAGAGAAACAGTCTGTACCTGGAGCAATGCATGATGCAGCAGCTGACTGCATATGTACAATGTTACAATGCTTGGAAGATGAGCACCAGGTATTTCTTTAGTTTTATTTAATCTTGCCCCACATAATTATTTAATTATTCATTTTTTGTTTCAATTTAAAGAAATTCCTGACATTATTTTAATCGTATGCTTGTTTAACTTAATAGGCTTTAGAAATGTATTTATTCAACAACATAATGACCCTTGAAGTGGCATATCACATGTCTGTTGCTAAAGAAGACCAAGAAAAGTCAATGAATTATTGCCGAATATTTACGGAATTAGCCGAGACATTTTTAAAACGTATCATTTCTCAATGCAACGGCGAGAGTCAACCTTATGCTGAGCAAATCCTTGACCTGGTGCTGGTCTGTCTAGGACATCATGATTATGAAGTGGCTGAAGTTACATTTAACTTTTGGTATCTTCTTAGTGAAGAATTGTACCAGACCAACACAAAACAATTAACGGATATGTTTCGGCCGTATATCGAAAGACTTATTACCGCCTTGTGCAGACATTGTCAGATGGAACCAGATCACGAAGGTCTCTTGGAAGATGGGGATGATTTTAAGGATTTTCGACTGAAAGTTTCCGATCTGATCAAGGACGTTGTCTTCATTGTGGGAAGTAGCAATTGCTTCCGACAAATGTTCATGAACCTGCAAGCACCTGGAGTCTCTTGGGACACCAGCGAAGCTGCCCTCTTCATAATGCAAGCTGTTGCAAAAAATATTTTGCCGTTAGTTAATAAACAGTTTTGTGATCGTAATGCTTGCATTTTCAGATTTGTATTTTTTTCCAGGACAGAAAACGAAATAGTTCCTAAAGTTGTCGAAGCAATTTTGAACTTGCAACAGAACGCTCATGTTGCCGTTCGACACACGTCTGTTCTTTTACTCGGAGAACTCTGTGAATGGATAGAGAAACATCCTATCACACTGCAGCCTATACTCAACTTTCTGGTTTGTTATTTGCCGCAGCCGGGGGTAGGAGCTGCAGCCGCTACTGCCCTTCAAAACATCTGCACCAGATGTAATGAACACATGGCCTGTCACGTACCAATTTTGATCCAATTAATGAGACAGGTCGATTCGTTTCCAATTAATAATAACGCTGTTATTGGACTACTGAAAGGGGTAAACAAGAGAAACAAAGAAAGATATACTAATTTAAAAATTACTGATTCACTTATTTATAAATTTATGCAGATATTTACATAAGTAGAAATTAATTTCTTAAGAGACAAATATTTTTGCTTAAATATGGTTCCAGTTAATACATATGTATGTCAACAGCTAACGTTAATTACAAAAAATTTAATGAAAATTTTATGCCATCTACTTTCTTAATTTTCCAAAATCATTTTTGTTTTACATTTGTTGGTTAAGTTCTTAATTTGTTGGATAAATACAGTGTATCTACTGTTAATAATTAGATTTCAGTACAGTCGTTAATTGGGCGTATATTTTTTTTTTGCTGTGCAATTAGATTAAAGAAATTAATTTTTAAACATTTTATAGTTACCAATAAGTACGCAAATAATCAAGTCAGAATTAGTAAAGAATATTTTGTATGCATATAATTAATGGTTGTTTAATTATTGTCGTTTTTTTCCCAGGTTGCAGCCATAATTAGTTGCATGCCCCATACTGAAATAACAAATTCAATGAGAGAACTGTGTTCTTTTCAAATGACTCCACTCTGCCAGCTAATAGATAATGGCATTGTACCAATTAAAGGCACCAAAAGTGATCCAGTATTGTGGTTAGATAGACTCTCGTCAATATTTAAAAACGTTAACATTAAATTAGAGAAAAATGAACCGAATCCTTGTAGGTAAGTTTGATATGAAATCATAATAGTATTTTGTAAATAAATACATAGCAACTTTAAAAAGTTTAAAGCGTAAGTTTCATTTTGTTTTTTTTTATTATTATTATTAGATTAAACGCTTTAGAAGTGTGGCCGACCTTATCACGCACTATTGACAAATACCAAGGGGATTTGCGCATAATGGAACGATGCTGTCGCAGCCTCAGATTCATGCTACGTTGTGTGAGTCAGCAAGTACCTGACTTGTTAAAACCGCTCGTCGAACAATTAGTCCGTCTCTATTTGATTCATAAACACTCATGCTTTCTGTATTTGGGGAGTATCTTAGTGGACGAGTACGCCATGATGAACGATTGCGTGGCTGGACTTCTGGAGATGCTCAAGGCCTTTATCGAACCCACCTTCCAAATGCTTGTTGAAAAAGATGGACTTAGAAATCATCCTGATACTGTAGACGACTTCTTTAGGTAATACAACTTGAGGATTTGTCTCATCATTTTTTCTTATGCTTTGCGTTTTCAATACAGATTGTGCGCTAGATTCCTTCAAAGGGCTCCACTGCCCTTCTTGGAATGCGAAGCAATGTCTCCTATACTAGAGTGCTCTCTATCTGCCTGTAATTTGGATCATAAGGAAGCAAACACATCAGTAATGAAGTTTCTTTACGGTTTAATAGCTGTGAGTCAAGGGAGTAAGCAGCAGCCCGATTTCAAAAAACGGCAGGATATTGTCACTGAAATCCTGACAAGTTATGGACAACAACTGGTTACCAATTTACTGCACGCGTGTGTATTTTATTTGCACTCGTATATGCTCGCAGAAGTGGCCGACGTACTTGTAGAGTTGCTGAATTGGGATAAGAAGTTCACCGGCGAGTGGCTTACGATCGCTTTGGAAACGTTACCAAAACAAGTTAATGGGGGCATAATAACAGCCACTCCACAGCAGCTAAGCAACTTTCACGAAACCGTGATCGAGTAAGTCATATTTTATTTTTAGTCAGTAATTACTTAAGTAACACTTCGTTATTATTCTTTTAAAAATGGGCAATATTAAACTCCTAAATAAAACAAAGTGAGAGAAATGCTGAGAGGGTTTCAAATAAACAATTCATTGCTCAGGTGGCTTAATCAGTCTAATCATAATTTTCATTTTAAATTAAAAAATTATGTAAATTCATCTAAACAACGTACACGGCAACTGCAAATTAGTATATTTCAATATAAATTTGAAATTATTCCTTGCAATCCTTACAATTCGTAATCATTTTATTGCAGGTCAAAAACCTCAAAATCAATTACGCAAGCACTGAAGAAGTTAACGCGATTATACCGTTAAATGTATAAAAATACAGTTATAAAAAAAGGACTTAATTGTTTGAATGTGAAGCCACAGTTACAGTGTAAATATAGCACTACTTAAAAAAATCGAAACATCGTTGCTCTTTGGACGATTCGTTCTTTTTTATTTTGTGCAGTTTACGTATATATTTTATGTAAATAGAAAACGTTTTCCATAAGAATGTTTATCATAATTAAGCAAATGACTAATTTTACTAAGTAAACCATTAAAAAAAGAAACTGTTTCATTCATAATTAAAAAAAAAAAACGAAAAGAAATATATGTATATTGACGTTTTCTAAAAAAAGTTATTAACTATTTTATAATTTGTGACAGACAAAATATTAATATTTTCCAATTATAGGTAAAGATAAATTTTGATGACTAGTTTTCGATTTAAAAATAATACATTAAAAATACTAATATGA